CTTGTAACAAGATATACTATAGGTGAATTCAATCTAATAAATCAATTACTAACAAAATATAATTACAGACTAGTACTTGTAATAAAAAGAAGTTTAGGAGTTTAATTTAAACAAATAAGAAAAATCATATATATATATATATATATATAAGATATACATCTCCTCATCCATAGAAGTGTCCAAGTTATGAAATAGCTCATCAGCTGAAATAATGTATTATGACAGACTATTCTGACAAAACCAAGAGTTCTACTTACATGTTGAGAGGTTGTACCTTGGATGACTAAGTTAGCAGTTCCATCTTCAAGACTTCCCCCAAGTCTAAATTGCAATCTAGGCTGCTTTGAGGCAATTTCAGCCTCCTCTCCAGATTCCTCTGCACCTACTTTAATATTTTTTTACAAATTTTATCACACTTTCTCAAAACTATAAATAAAATAAATGTTGACAAATATCTGAATACTATAAAACAACTAGACTTCAAGAACTGAAAATATTATTTCAAATACATTTATCATGAATAATGAGGGCTGTGTATCATATCATAACTCTTACTGTTGCCATTTAGTTAAAAAATGCTTGTTCACACAAAAGGAATCCATCCAAACCATGAATCAAGCACTATAAGCTTGGTAAGCAAAACCTATCAAACCAAGCTAATCTGATTCAACCAGATAAATTCTAAAGTTGAAATTAGTTGAAATATTGGTGGAAGTGCAAAGTATTAAAGTATATTTAAAACCAAGTAAATTGTTAGAAAAAACTTCTGAAACTTATAAAACAAGAAAACTGACTAATTTTTGCACATAAACTTAAAAACAATAGAAAGGAATAATTATTTTATTATAGTGCATGGAACTTTTAGGAGCTAGAAACTATCTAGAATATCAACAAATACACACAAAAAAGGCTGTAAGATGGTAACTCAAGCCTCACTTTAAGTGTTAGAAAATGTCTGAATTACAAACAAGTAATATAAATGAGATTGAAAAAAGTAACTTGTTGTGAGCAGTCAGAAAGTGTCTGGAATACCAACAACTACAAGAAACCCAACAGTTTGAGCTTTAGAGACTTTGAATTGGTGTGGTTCCAGTTAATTAATGTGAAATAAAAATAAATCATAATAAATAAAAATGTACAAAATAACAAGTATCAGACATATTTCATGTGGAAACATGAAAAACAAATGTGAACAAAAGCTAATTTTTATGACAGAAAAGTGAGAAGAGTATTGAAAGAAAATTTATATCTTTTTAAGGGATTTCTTAGTTGTTTGGATTTGTCTAACATGCTGATGATTACATTTTTTACTATATTCGAGATAAATTAATCATTCAATTTCACATAAATTTGATTGTATCTGACAAAGAAAGTGTTGGTTGTTTTCATGAACTAGTAGGTTGAAATACTTTATTAGAAGGACGACAAACATGTCATGGTAGAATGTAATTAACTTTAGTTATGAACTAAGATAGTTTTGACCATTTTGTTCTTAAAAGAATAAACAAAAGAATATCTGAGAAAAAAAACTGTGGAAATGTTTTTTGAGAATATGTAAAATTTTCTTGAGTTTAAGTTTGAATTCATCATTCTAGAAGCTCTTAGTAGTCAATATCTTTAAAAATCCCTAAGTTGGTATTCAAGCTACTATATTTTGCTCTACATTAATATATATTATTATGATCCTCATTATACAGTTGTATGTAGCCATTGAATTGAGCCATTTTCAAAGCTGAGCTTCATCAGTAATTGGTCGGGTCATATGCCGTGATATCATAGAATGATAGAAAGTGTTATATTAACACTTTCACCGCAGAGAGTGACTATAGTCGACAGAAGATTAATTGTTGTTAACAGCAGAGATCAACTTTTGTCCCTCTACAGCAGAAAGTGAAAATCCTCCACGAGCTTGAATTGACTGCCAGACACTGGGTGTGTTGACATCTAGAAGCACGAGTGGGAAACAAAGTATAAACAATACATCAGCTGCGGCCCCCATCTGCGGCATTGCAGATGATGCAATGCACCCATATAGAGACGTCAGCTGATCATCATATTTTCTCTGTGTTGCTACCATAATTTCATAAGTTAGTGACACCATAACATCAAGACTTGCAATTTAAATGTGTCTTATATATCATAATACAGTGAAATATACTGTTAATTTACGATGTCTTTTGATGGAGAATTGTCATGGATTGGGGACTGACTGTGAAATCAAATTATGAGATGAAGGGTTAAAACCAACATGAAAAACAAGATAAAAATCATTATATTTTAAGGGAATCATAGTTTATTAGCAAATAAAAACCTTTACTTTAAGATAGGCAGAAAAATTGTAAGTTGATACATGTGTTGTTTAGAGCAACTCTTCAAAACTGTTCAGAAATGAGAGTTGGAATACTTATTTCATATTTCTTTTCAAATTTACTAAATAAATGTTTTACAATGACAAAATATCAATAATAAAATATTTATTATTGAAAGATTGTTAATATAGTTAGAATTATGATTTGTACTTCAATTTTGAATTAGGATATGCAGGTATGCACCTGACACTTGAAAGATGATCTGCGATCCAGATAGGGTTAAGTTACAAACTTACAATAACAGGAAGTTCAATAAAATTTGTATGGTGAGATATCAACAAGTTCAACTCAACTGCAAAATAAAACACTACAGAAAATATTTTACACATGAAAATAAAACCACAAATAATAATAAAAATGTCTGCCAAGTGATAATGTTGAAGGACAAATACGTTAACACTATCTTTACTTATAGATTTCTTGATTGTGTTAGGCTAAAAATAAAAAAGACAGCGAAAATCTTAGAAGATACTAACTTTGCTTAAAATTATAATCAATCCTAAGCTCCACTAGGATTCCCCAAATGTTGTATCACCTAGTTCATTAGGTAAAGCCCCATTAACAGATAAAAAAAAAAGAAGAGTGCCCAACAGTTTTATCTCCAACATGCAAGAAACTCAATTTAACAAAATATTGTGCAAGTCTGTCAGCTGTGACGATAAAATATGTCTATGGTCAAGCTTTCAACTGTATTTAAAGTATACATATTGACACACCTGAACTATTCATCTAAGACAGGTGTTTCCAAACCTTTTTGGACAAGGGCCGGGAGGTGGATCTTTTTAGGCTTCGCGGGCCAGGGGGATCATGGTAAAATTAAGTAGGGATGCATACATGATCAGACTGGCTTTTGCTCAATTACGTTTTATTTTTTGTTTTTATAATATAAAAAATTTATATTATTACTTTAATAAGCTGTCAGCACGGCTTCGGTTTGGAGAGCCATGATCTAAGATATTAGGTCGAAACATAGTAAATCAGGTCTCACCTAAGGAAGCTGGTAACTATATGAAATACCTACTAGATATGAGAATGAAATATAAGAAGTGAAGCCTAGCTTTGGGTGGTTTGCAAATATCTGGAGTACCAACAAGTACAAAACAAAAAGCTGAAAAATGATAAATTAAGCTTTGTTTTTGGTAGTTAGTAACTATCTAGAATATCAACAAGTACAAGATATAAGGATGAAAGATGATACATCAAACCCTGCTTTGTGTTGTTGGAGTGTGTGTGTGTGTGTGTCTGAATACCTACTAATACAAACCTTGAATTTGTAGAGTGGGATATAAAATTTAAGGGTGTTTTAAAGATGCATAAATTTTAGTTACATACATCTATTCATAATTAAGATTTATCAGTCAAGACATTATTTATAGCTGCAAGCTACTGTACTTTCTGCCTGCATCTATCACTCATCAAGTATTCAAATGAAAAAATTTTAGTGGTCGTAAAGTATACCAATCAGCTTTTTCTTACTGATTAGGAACAGTAGCTGGTTAAGTGTGATAATTCTTTTTTGCTCTAGGGAAATGGTTGAAGTCATTATGCATATTTATGACTTTTTCCTACATGACTGCAAACAATTATTCCTTTATATATTCAGTGTATTCTAAATTCAACTTTTTTTTTCTAAAAGACCACAAAAATTAAAATATCTAAAAATATTACATTAAAAATTAAATATACAGTTCATATAATACTGACCTAAACTTCTTTCTTCAGAAATAGAAACTGTGGGTTCTATATTCATCTCTTCCTCTACTATTCCATGCACTGTCCGTCTGTGCATAGCAAGAGTAGAGGTTTGTCTGTAATTTTTGCCACACAGATTACAAACATAAGGCTTGGTAAGGGTGTGAACAACATGATGCTTATATAAGCTAGAATATTCTGTAAATTTTTTGCCACAACTGAGAACACTACACACATACGGCTTTTCACCTGCAGTAAAGAAAAAATTTGAGACTAAAGATATATAGCTTGTAACTAAATATAAAAAGTTTTCATGCAGATCAAGTTACCAAAAATAATATGAAATCCTCACAATTAAACAAGGTTGATCAGACAAAAAAGCTTTAGGTTCATGTTATTAAATAGTCTCTCTTAACTTTGTCTTCTCAAAAATTCAGAAGTAATCATAAGTTAATGAAAGCAATTTTTTATTTGTGATTATTACTGGAATAGATAGAGAAGCACTAAATTCTTTTGTGATGTAATAATTATATATTTTTAGATGCACTCATTTTTTTTGGTTCATGCAAATTATACTATAAAATATAATTCGAATACAGTGGTAACAGATTTTAATAAAATACCAAAAAAGTGCAACACACACATTGACACTATCTTTGCAAAATTATTTGATAATGTTTAGAGCATTATTTTTAGAGATATAATTAGTTTATAAGTTGAATCTGTCTGTCAAGTTTCCAACTAAAGTTCTGAAAACAGCCAAGAAAGTCAAATTAAAAATTACATTTCAATAAAAATTTTGATGCACAATGATAACTATTATTCTTAAATATTATGTTGAAGATACTTCATTTTGAGTCATGATACATTTTATCAAAATAATTCATATGCTAAATCTCACCTGTGTGTATTCTAATGTGATTCTTGTAATTAGTTGCACTAGCAAAGGATCTTCCACACCCTTCTTCCTTACATATGTATGGCCTTTCACCCGTATGAGTGCGGATGTGTACTTTGCGAATGTTGGATGTAGTAAATGCTCTGTCACAGCCTTCAAATGGACACTTAAATGGACGCTCTCCTAAAAAAAGAAATAGATATTTTATTTCAAAAAATAAGTAAAACTCAGTAAAAAATAAGCCTTTAGATGTCAACAAATGCAACAAAAAAATGCATAAAACAACTCTTTTACAAAATCAACAGTACAAAATACAATAAATAAAAACAAAAGGAAACCATTACAGACTATAAAAATTCAATAGACAAAGTTTACTTCTATTTGAGAAACATTATGAAATATCACTACATATATTCATACACATTCTACAAAATGAAAAATTAGCAACAGAAACAATAATAATAATAAAAAACAGCACACAACCTGTATCAGTTGCATTACCTGTTCTGCATCAAGTTTTGACTTTAAGGAATTTACCACCATCAGTGCCACATTGAAGGGGTGGAAGACCCTTCTGAGACAATGATCCCAATGTCTTAGTCCTTGGACCACAGGGAAGTTTACTGGTAACCTCTTAGAAAGTCTGCAGTTAGAAGTCATTGCCAGTTGGAGATTCTTTCCTACTGTCTACTCTTTGGCCACATTTGACACTAGTTTTTATCCTTGTTTCATTTGGACTAGATTTAACTTTTCAAATAAAAAATATGGGTGATCAAGCAACAGATTGAATGCATAGAATTTCTGTCAAATTTAGTCAAAGACAAGATAACCAAGAGTGTCCAAGATTCGACTGCATATAATAATAAAAGTCAGGAATGAAAAATATGTGATTACATGAATTCTGACTGATCAGAAGTTCAGTTAAATGTTTAGGTTTGAAAGTTGACAGTTATGCCAAAACTACTAACTATTACCCTGGTCAAATGACACTGCTACAGGCTTACATGTACTAAGAAGTATACTGATTGTAAACAATGTATCCCTTACACCTGTGGATGTCTTGTTTCACCAGGCTTTATCAGATCTCTCAATCTATATTCAGCTGTACTGCTCACTTTTGTCATTGCCATGACAACAGCTAACACAGCTACCTGGGAACCCAGCCACATTTCTTTCACTACAGTCTGGTTGTTATAAAAACAGAGCCCAGGACTAGTACAAATGAAAAGGAAGGTGAAGCTGCAAACTTTAGTAACCAAAAAGAGCTAGCCACCACATGGGAGCTAAACCCGATCTTCTGACCATGGAAATTCATTAATATTTCATTTGACATCAGACTTCTTTCAGATATACTTACAGCTACACCTTGTTCTGTTATAATGTAAATAAAATATTCATTAAAAATTTGTCAAATGAAAATTTATATTCATAACCATGTAGAACATTAGGTGCGCCAAGTTTTCATTTGGTATGATATAAGACACTGTTTGCAAAATGTATCTCCTATGGATCATTCCATCCAATAAGAATATTACATACTACTGCTAGTGAAAACAATAGGGCAAACAGTGTTTTCTTCCAAGTGTAGCATGAGCCCAGCCACAACTCTTACCTTTCTCATGAAAATTCACTCACTATCTGCCAAATATTTCAATGTTAAAACTGAAACATTCTCTCATTAGCATTAATGAAAATATCAGGCACACTTTATCTTCAAATAAACTTTACAGGCCAGTAAATTGCAGCCAACTTAATATTTCTAAGTCTGTACATTCAGATCAAATCCTTTATTTTCATTCGTATGTTGCATGATAGTTGTGTTCTCCACATAATACATTGCTCACAGATGACTTTGTGTTACACATCCTTACACATGTGCAACACTACATACAAATATATTCACACACATCTATTGTTATATATGTATATTATGAACATTATACATTGTCATAAACTAGTAGTTGTATACAGACTGCCTCTGACTAATGCACCATTACCATAGTAGCCAACACAGGCCACCTCCACTAGTTTTGTATCAATAGTCATGGTGCCATAATGTTTTACCATCTACAAGCTTGTTTTATCAGCATCATGAAATAAGTAATCACCAGAAGAATTCAGCAAAATTAAAACTTCTCAGCTAAAATCCTTGCAAGGCAAGATTAACATCCATGCTATTGGTGAAGTACATATCAATAAACACTCAGCCCAACCAAGGCCTAATTCAACAATTCACATTAAGATATATTTACTGTCCTAGACACCCAGCAACACCAGTAGCCAAATTAGCAAGATATTTTATCAGCATATGCAAGTCAATCCACTTCCTTCAGTTGGTGTTACCGAAAAATAAATACAAGCAAACCCAGTGAAGCAAGGACCACTCCATTTAGATTCATCATAACACAATTTAGATTTTATGCTGAGAAAGAACATAATTCCCTCATTGTACATGGAGGACTCCAAAATACTTAAGTATATACGGAATATATATTTAAGCAAGCAAGCATTCCACTACTCGGTTAGATAGTGTGAACAATTTTCATGAAAAGTCAGATGACATTTTGTCTAAGAAAATCACTTGATAGCTATGAAAGTATTGGTTGAATTTCCCTTTCAGCTGAGTTTTTCAATTCCTAGCTATCACCAGCTGTCTTGTGTGATAATCAAGCAGCCAACAGCAGTTAATGAAGGCAAGGTTCAAAATGCCTTTTCGGTCCCATTAATTTTGTAATTAGCAAACCATCCTAACTTTGTGATGATCAAGTAGCTATCACAATGTCACTGGAACTGTGATGCTGCACTTCATCATACAAACATTTTACTAAATCGTCACAAAATCATACAGATTCAGTATCAGGCATTGGACTGTCTGTCCCTGAATCCATTCCTTCCAAAAATGACCTGTCTGAAATGTTTAAGGAAGTGGCCCAGACTTTCCATGGCCATGTCTTTACACTTTGTGGGAGAAACCCGCTTAGCCTCAATTACAGGGATCTGTGAGGGTGACATTAACCTTTCTCCTGTAAACTCTTAGACAACATCAAACTCCGACATCCTAAACATTAAAAATTTGGTGGAATGAGTTTGTACAGGGACCCTTACACTTGGATAAGTGTTAGATCCCTGTCCTCAGGTCACAAAATACTGAGTTATCTCAGGTAACTTGTTCATTGGATTTGTACAACCCCAGGTTTCTCTGTGACCCTTGGTATGGAAAGACTCAACACTGCTTTGTAGATCACTACTTTCATCAGCCTGTGCTCGCTGTCTTACCTGCTGGCAAACTCTATCCATCAGTGGCACCTCTAGACTCTCTTAGCTGGTCATAGATGAATTGAACATAGTCTGGGTTGATGTACACTGGTTGGTGAATTTCTGGGAGTCCTGTAGAAACTGCTCCATTCAGTTCCAGACTACCCATCATCGTGACGATCTTCAGTCATCTTGTGCACTGAGACTAAATCCCAGGGAAAGAACCTACTCAGCCATTTTTAGTGCACCAAATTCATCAGTGAAAGTCCAATGTCCAGGAAAGTACTTCCTTTAAACTGGAGAACTTTCTATAACAAATATTGCTCCTCACTGTATAACTCTTCCTCTTGGTTATATGGAAAATGCTACTTCCTCAAGTGCAAAGCTTCAATTCAATTCAGAAGAGCACAGGTAAATACATTCATCAAAAGAAAAGACACACACTGAAAAACAAACTGTAGGACAGAGCACAAAATTTCTCATTCCTACCTACTCTGTGGTATTCACAAGTTCATTGAATTCCCTGTCAGTAACTGCATTGAAACTGCAAAATAACAGGACTCACCAAAAAATGCTTTGCCAACAAAAATATGAATTCTCTGACTTTAACTTAGTTTGAAACAAAGAAAGAAACTGGACATAAGTGAAATAATCTGTATTTCCAACAAAGAAAAATCAAGGTTTATAACAAGTATATCTTTCGAGCATCTTTACTGGATAGCTAGTAAGTCATCAAATCTGTATCAAACCAATCATATCTCTCTCTAATATCATCTTCCAGACTGAGAAAATCTGGTAGTATAAACTAAAAACAACAATGTCATTATTCTCAAGATGCATGTACTACCAATATAACTGATGATCAGTCTCATTTCAAAATAAGGCATGTATTCTTGAGATATACCCTGACTTTCCAGTGGAAAAGATCAATGTCTTTTTCTATGCAGTATACTTCACTTTACAGAAATCTCTGATATGAGAAAATACATGTAACATCATAGATGGATAACCCACCTGTAGGTAACTAGGATGAGAGGAACTTAGTAGCTCCCATTCTATATTAATTCTCTCAACATGGGCTAGGTCAATTTGCCTGACCATGTGACCTCTTTGTACTCATTTAAAGTCTTTATAAATTTAATACTTGTAACTTTCAATATAGTGTGTATATCTTCACAAAATTTGTCAGTCTTACAGTTAATATTACAAGTTTTTCACATACAAAAAATCATATTTTTTTTTACTGAAGTATTTTTAATAAAATAAAAATTTGTCCATGAATATATTGAGTATTTGTTTTGAATAGCCCGTGTGAAGAGTAATTTTCATGTTAAAATAAAAAATACTTTTCTTCATCTCAAATTTCCTGTGTAATCCCTAAAACCTCCTAAATGCATTTCAAACTCTTTTTCAGTAAAACAATATAGTTTATCTGTTATTTTCTCTACCCTATCACAAATCGGTATCGGTCAATTTGACCAACCTCATAACCACCAAAAAATAAAAAAACAAAAAAAAAAACTAAATAAATTTAAATTACCCTTTTCTTCAATGACTTCAACTTGTAACATGAAACTATATTCATTTATCCTAAGTAGCCCTAAGTTCATAACAGTATACATCTATTTACCATGTCTAACTACTATCCATGCCATTATAAGTTGTAAATCACTCGGGGAACGTGCAACTCATGTTACACTAACGAAGTACATTACCCATGAGCTACTAAGAGCTGCTCACTTGTGTGCCTCATGAAACATTTTTATTATAATATTATTATTATTTGTTTTACCTAATCTAATGTTAACCAACCTAAAAGGGTCCCTATTTTTTTATTTAGTTACTTTTATAATTATACATAAAGAATAAACATGAAAAACAAGAAATAAGATACTTTTCCAATCTTTTTTTTCTTCTTGCTGTCAATTGTCGAAGAGAGTTAACCCTAATTTTTTAAACTAATGATAGTAATGCACTTAATTTTTATTTAATTAAATAATGCAAAGAATATTGACTAATAACATGCAAAAGTAGACAAATTCCTTTACCTCTCTAAATTTTTCTAGCTTTCTAACTATGTGACAAGAGTAAGTACAATTTCATCCAGGCTAATTGTTAACTTTCACGCAGAAACGATGTTGGTACTCTGAGTGAAATTTACATTTGACCATTCAGAACATAACCTTATACAATACCTCATTTGATAGATGAAAACCTTGACTTTGTATTTGTCATTGGTAATATATAATTATAAACTACTATATAAAAATAATAAAAGTCACGTAAATCCCATGCAGTTTTTTCCAGAATCAAGTTTTCTTACGATTATAGAAAAGCACTATTGGCCAGTACTATATACAACCTCTGCATAAAATGGCAGTTACTATAATAAGCACCACCCACATTCATATTGTAAACTCCAGAGAACATTTTGTCACGTGCTTTCCTTATCATCCTATGATTTGTCGAATGAGATACAGCAATTGGAATAACATGGTACTGAAATTGACACCTTCGACTAGGATTGGCTAAAAGTTTTACAACTGAGGTTTAACAAAGCCAGATGCTGTTTTATAAAGAAAACAGACTAGAAAAAGGTTGAGATATCAATCATAGATGGCAGAACCAGTGCTGAAGTGGAAGGAAATATTTGAAAAAATTTTCTTCTTAGAGGGCACTTATTTAGTCTAAAACGTATTGTAGGATTTTTTTCATAAAATTCCTCTTTAAATTTCATTAAACAATACAATTTTGTACAAATAATTGAATGTTATGCTACTATTTACAAAAATAAAATCCAATAAAAGATAAGTTCTCTATAATTTTTTTAATTCACAAATGTGATTTTGCCCTCACGATAAGATCAAAGTGGCCACAGCAGATAAAGGGTTAAAAGTAACCACTACTTTTGTGGTATAAGTAATGTATAAAATAAACAATATTACTTCTTTGTAAAGTACAAAGGACTAGGGTCTTAGACTAACCTTGCAACTGGTATAGAGAATAGGATTTGTATAGTCCAGCAATAAATTACTATAATAACTTAGAATAGTCATACAAAGCATATGAGAAATACTTTTGCTTTAACAACAGTTTCAGAAAAACAAATAGTGCTTTAAACAACATGTTAAAATTATATTGACA